AGAGATTCATGAGATTCTAGATATTTTCAGCGCCAGTTTCCCAATATAGTTCGACTCGACAAGTCTTAGGTCAGACAGGCAAATTTTGAAACATTGCTTTTATGTATAAGTAGTCTAAGAAGAGTAAGGACCTTAAATTTTCCCTTAACCAGTCTCAACCCTGGATAAAAGGGGTGGGTTGTGTTAAGTAGGCAGCTAATGTAAAAACTTTACAAAACCTTCTTATTAATCTAAAATATAAGCCTCACTGAAGGTACTGTCCCTAGAGCAGAATGACAGACTAGGATTCGTGTAGCCGACCCCAATTAGTTAAAAAAAAGCTTTAATAATGATGAATGATGATGGTACTTTGATGTATAGGGTCTTTAGTAACAATTTGCATGCTTAGGAGGGGAACATGTTACGCAAGAGCATCCATTCCTTGATATCATTCACATGGTGCGTATTAGCGTACAACTACAATTGGAATGCAACAAAGATTGTGTTTGCTTTGAAAGGGGGGAGCTTGACCAGAGCATGTCCTTGGCTAGACAAATGTGCATGGTCAAAAAGTGCTTGTGCTAGGAATGGGGCTCAAGGATAAGTACTAAGGTGGCGAGGTGCCATAATGTGAAATTTTGAGTTCCATTTCTACCGCAGGTTTATAACCTTTTTCCCACTATTTACCCAAAAAAAGAAAGAAGAATGAAGCGCTATTGTTTGTTCATTTTAATGGTGGTGTGTGCACATTAACCAAAGAGCATGAGTTTAAGAAGGCATGCCTCTGCTTTAGTAGTGAAAAAACAAGAAGAAATCCCACTCTTAGTTCTACTTTCCTGACCATTCTCGTTTTTATTCATGTTCTCCTTTTGAATGCAGGTTGTTCAGGATAATTCTAGATTGCAAGATGAAGCCCTACTGGGACTCCAAAAATAATTAGTCATTTGATATTTCACAATATAGTGGGCTTTCTAGTGTCATAATGAGATTGTGAGACCTCAGACGAACGAAAAGCTCGATGCATTTGGTGGCAATTTAGTAGTTTTACTTGGTTTTATTCCTTATGGTCAGAGAGGTGGTTTTTAAATATTTGATTGCTCGTTGTGGCCGCGACATTAAATTGATATGAAGAGAAGATAACCTTTTTCCATTTTTTTTGACATTTCAAAAGATTATCTGTAAAGTTTAGCCCATTCAAAGACATAGGGGTTCACAACATAAGCAAAGACACCCCCCTTCTCTCTCACAATTGAGGTAAAGGCCATGGCAAATTAGTTATCAATGAGACTTCTCAATGAAGAGAAGTAAGTCATTGAAGAAATTTTAGTCCCAATGTCTTTGTTTTTGCCATGGTTTTTCACTGAAATAACAACACTGGAGACAGGACTCAGTGCCTGTGTTGATTGGTTACTGTGATTAATGTTGAAATTGGCAAAAAAAGTTAGAAAGAAAGGGAACTAATTATAATTCTGTGTTGCAATATATATGTTTTGCTTTTATTATTGGAGACAGGACTCAGTGCCTGTGTTGATTGGTTACTGTGATTAATGTTGAAATTGGCAAAAAAAGTTAGAAAGAAAGGGAACTAATTATAATTCTGTGTTGCAATATATATGTTTTGCTTTTATTATTAGGCAGGCTTGCAAAACTCCATGCAGCACCATTCCTAGGTTCACATCATAGTTGAGGCATAATTTTAATTAGCAAATCGCACATATGTTGCGCAATGCCTCAGCTTAGGAATCAGATCATAAAATCCTCTGAAAGATTTCATATAGATAACCAATAACCGTTTTAAAAATAGAACTCCAAGTATGTTCTATCAAATTCTAGTAGAAAGTAAAAAAGGATGCAAAAAAAGGATGTAAAGCTGACAACGAAATTCGAGTATTGAATCCATCCACTTAAAATTTGAAGCAATATCCAATTTAAGTTTTGCTTGTTGCAATAATCTTTTGATTTTAGCCCTTTATAGCTTATACTAAATGTCTCTGTTTATTTTAAAATTTTATTAAATTCAAAGAACCTTTTTATGTGATAATTTCTGTTAAAAAATATTTCTCACTAATATGTGGTGTTCATCATTTAAACATCTCCTTTTATCTCTGAATTTTAGTTTTATGGTCTTTTTTTGTTTTTTCAAAAGTTCAACCATAGGATCTTACTTTTTGTTTGAATGATCTTAATGAAAGTCTGAAACGTCATAACATAAGAGAAATTTCTCATTAAAACAATTGGTTGGTCTCTGTAATGTAAATTTTAATGTGAACAAGAAATAAATAATTGCTGATTTGAAGTATACTAGGGTATTAAGGCTTCTAGGTTGGGTAGTACAGGTTTTCATTTATCCAACAAAACAGACCAGGAGTCTATTGGTGGCTGAGAGATGCTATCTACAAAAGGAACTTGACTTGAAACCAAATAAATCAATTTCAGAAGCCAACAATATTGGCTGTTTTCAATGACACTTGCTCACCTAATCTGTTTGTGTATGCCGTTGAAGATTGATATTTAGGGCTTGTTGGATGTATTCATTATTGCTGATAATTCACTATTGTTATATAAGTTAGGGACCCGCGATCCAGCTGAACCGTGGATGTCCATCTTTAAGATGGTAATTGCGAAAACTGCAATGGACCAAAAAAATCAAATTAACAGTGCAAAAAAAATCTCAAAAAAAAGAAATTCTAATTTTAAAATTTTGTTTTTTCTTTTCGTATCCATGATTTCCTTGCCTTAGATCATGAATCCTTAATAATTTTGGAGAAACAAAATCCATATTCAAGATGGATTTTAAAGAGGGAAGGCACATATACAAATGTGCCAGTTGACTCATAGAATCCCTACCCTTTACTATTTCAATAAAATTGATCATGATGATAATGAATTATTCGTTGTTTGCCAGCATGTCTTATAAAAGTACTTGAGATAAAACTTATAGACAATTTTACATATAAGTTTATCTTTTTGAAAAGTTTTTATTTTTATTCAAAGTAATTTATTGAAAATCACATGTTTTTAAACAAAAATAACTAAAAACACCTTAAAATCACTCAAAAAGTCAAATAATTATACACAAATATATAATAGAATGTATGCACCAGATAGATAGTCAATCAAATAATCTCATGCAGAGTATATGAATTTTAGAAAAGATGGTCTACCCTTGATAAGATTAATTGCCCTTATTGTTGAGGTATCACTTAATTTCACTCCCCATCCCATGTCTATCAAATGAAACCATGAGAAATACTAAGACAAAGAGGGAGAGTTCATCATGGAAATGAATCCTTGAGAACCACTGAGGCAAAGGCAGCTGAGCACTGAAGAAGAGAAATGTTTACTATGCTTATTTCATTCAATTTTTAAGGCATGAAAACAAGCTCTTGCCATTTTCTCAAGCTACCACCTTATAGTACATACCAACCATGAAGATACATTATACAAAATGGATGTAGATTTTATGTGCCTTCCGGCCCAAGCTATAGCATAGACCTGATATCTCTGGTTTACCAATCTGGACAGTCCACATTCGTCGAAAGAGATTGGGATATCTGAACCATCCCACACCGAAAGATAAGTTTAAAAAGTATATCATCTACGGTTAGGAACATTGAATTACCAAATGATGAAAATGCCCCTGGTTTCATATTGCCTGACTGATATTTTGATTATTTTGTAGTTGATTTTTCTCTAAATTGAATAATGGAAAATATCAGAAATATACGTTAATTTTTATCTAATTCGAAAAAAAAAATCATCGATTTTCATAAATCTCTTCCATACCCTGCTTCTTTAATTTTGGTATTTTTTTACCAAAATAACCTTCACAGTAGTCGTATTACCGTAATAACTACCTCATTATAATACTTTAAGTATCGCAATGATCGTATTATAGTATTTTAAGTACTGTAATGACTAGGCTAAGTATTACGATACTTTAAAGACCGTAATGCTCCTTGGGTCTCTTTCTCCCCCATTTGCCACATTTGAGCATTACAGTCTTCAAAGTACCATAATGTTTAGCCTATCTGAGCGTTACAGTCTTTAAAGTACTGTAATGTTTAGCCTAGTCATTATGATACTTTAAATACTGTAATGACCACGCTAAACATTATGGTACTTTATTCGTATTACCGTAATGACTACCGCATTACGGTACTTTAAGTATCGTAATGACCGTATTACGGTACTTTAAGTACTGTAATGACTAGGCTAAGTATTACGATATTTTAAAGACCGTAATGCTCATTGGGTCTCTTTCTCTCCCATTTGTCACATCTGAGCATTATAGTCTTTAAAGGATCATAATGTTTAGTCTATCTGAGTGTTACAGTCTTTAAAGTACCGTAATGTTTAGCCTAGTCATTAGGGTACTTTAAGTACTTTAATGACCAAGGTAAGCATTACGGTACTTTATTCGTATTACCATAATGACTACCGCATTATGGTACTGTAAGTATCGTAATGATCGTATTACAGTACTTTAAGTAATGTAATAACTAGACTAAATATTACGATATTTTAAAGACCGTAATGCTCATTAGGTCTCTTTTTCCCTCATTTACCGAGCATTACAGTTTTTAAAATACCATAATGTTTAGCCTATCTAAGCGTTACAGTCTTTAAAGTACGGTAATGTTTAGCCTAATCATTACGGTACTTAAAGTACCATAATGTTTAGCCTTATCATTTTGATACTTAAGGTACTGCAATGTTTAGCCTGGTCATTACGATATTTAAAGTACTATAATGCGGTAGTCATTATGGTAATATGATTATTGTAAGTACTATTTTGATAAACAAAATGTTAAAATCGAAAAAAAAAGTTATGGACGAGATATATGAAAATTGAAGGTTTTTTTTTCTAATTAGATAAAAATTAAAACATATTTTTTATAGTTTCCCTTATGAATAAATGAGACACTTGAATAAGTCAAATTATTAAATAAATAAATAAATAAAAGTTACTAGACAAGCAAGAAGGCGCGCCCTCCTCTTTCTACACTCTCTCTCAATCATTCAGGTACGAGGTTTTCGCTCGCATCGAGGGGAAGAGAGAGAGAGAGGATGTTGAAGTTCTTGTCAAAGGTGAAGATCGAGTTCAATGCACTGAACACGGGCCGAACGGCGGCGTGCTTCGAGTTCTTGGCTCTGTGCAATGCGCGCAGGGCTCGGGAGTCGAACCCAGGGTGCCAAATCGCTGTGAAGCGGCGCACCGACGACTTCTACCCTCAGATCACTGTGACATTCGTTAATGGCACTGAAGAGGTCATCGATGCCGCTTCCACTCCTGCCCAGGACATTCGAGAGAAGATACTGGCCAAGGGAAGGATGTTAGAGACTTAGCAGATGTTCCGAGAGGCCGGCGAGCCGTGGCCAGTCATGATCCCTGAGGCTGAGCTCAAGGAACCTGTTGTCATGGATACAAGGTTAGGATTCTCTCTCTCTCTCT